CCAGCCGAGCCGAGAGGGGACTTGGTTGTTCCCAGCTGCAGCGCTGCGCGCGGAACCGCCCGCTCCGGGTTCAGGCGGCTGCTCTCCCGGCCGCTCCCGGGGCAGCGGAGCCTGTGGGAGGGACATGGGCTCTGGCTTCTCACACAGGCACCATCCCCTTGGATGAGGAGGTCCCCTGGGTCCCCACCGTGGGCTCTGCCACCTCCTCAGCCCCAGAAGCTCTCCCTGCCCTGTATCTAAATATAGCGCAGCCTGGCGGAGCCTGAGGTCACACTGCTCCTAACTGTCCCCGAGGGCAGGGAGGAGGGCAGCAGCACCTCCCTTCTCTCAGGCATCCAGTGAACGTTTAAAGAACCTCTGTATGTAGGTGTCAGGTGCCCTGCTGGGCTCAGGCCACATGCCACCAAGCAGGTGTGCCTCTGCCTTCTGGAGCTCGAGGAACCCTGGGGACACACACAGATGTGATCTGAGGAGCTCACTTTGCCAAGGGGACAGAGAGGAGTCCCTCACCCTGACTGGAGGCAGCACGGAGGAGAAGGCTGGGTGGAGGTGGGGGAGGGAGAGGACGGGGTCCAGGCAGGGAGTGGCTCCAGGGGAGACGGAGTGTCGCCATCTGGCCCAAGAACAGCTTCCCCGGGGTCGAGGGCTGGAGAGCTTGTCCGAAGGACACAGGTCCCAGAGCAGTAGGCTGCCGAGCCCAGGGACCCCCTTCTCCTTCCTCTTGGCCACTCGGGGCTGCGCCCAGGCTAACACTGGGCAGAGCGCGGGGAGATGCGCACAGGAGAGGGCTGCCCAGAGCTGGGCTCCCGGGATTCACAGTCACTGAGTGGAAAGGAAGGGGTGGGCACGGTGGCAGGGCAGGGGGCAGGGAGCAGGGGGTGGGGAGGAAAACGCCAGCGAATTGGCAGGACGCAGGGAGTGAGCCGCTGCCCCTGCGCTCCCCCAGCCTGGTTGCCTAGCTGACCAGGGCCCTGCATGGGGGACAGACATGCTAAAATAAAGAGGAAATGTTTGTTGAAGGCGAGCCCAGCCCGGCGTGCCGCCAGACCTCAGGGCCTTGGGGGAGAAGTCCGTCTGCTCGCCTAGCGCTGATGGAGGAGAACAGCCTGGGCCCGGCACAGCCTTCTGGGTAGGGGCCGCCTCGGCCCTGATGGCCTTTGGACCTCACACTTCCAGCCACTGCAATAAATCTTCCCAACGGGCCAGGGTTTTCCATCTGCAGAGCTCTTTCCCATCCAGCATCTGATGCTGCCTTCCAACGGCCCTGGCACCTGGCCAGGCAGCAGGAGCAGCCTCTGAAAGGTAAGGAAACCCAGGCTCACAGGAGTGTCACCATTTGTCCAGGTAGGGAAGAGGGGAGGGGTCAAGGCCAGCACCCAGTCCACAGCAGGAATCTTGCAGGTAACACTGGGAGTAGCAGGTAGGGGGTGTCAGGAGAACTTGAACTTCCTGCCAGTCCCCTGGTCTACGGGGTCCCCCTCTCCTGAGATGGAGGCCAACAGGAGTGAGGCTGGGATGGGCCTCGCTCCCTTTGGCAGCATGTTTGCTGAGAATATAAACCAGAAGGCAAGGACAGAGAGCTTGAGATAAACAGAAATGCCCAAAAGAACTGAATCACCAACAGGCGCCAGGGCGCACGCCTGTAATCCCAGCAGCTCGGGAGGCTGAGACAGGAGGATCACGAGTTCAAAGCCAGCCTCAGCAAAAGCAAGGCGCTAAGCAACTCAGTGAGACCCTGTCTCTCAATAAAATACAAAATAGGGCTGGGGGTGTGGCTCAGTGGTCGAGTGCCCCTGAGTTCAACTCCTTGTTTACCCCACCCCAAAAACAGAACTGAATCTCCTGCTCTGACTCTGAGCACCTCCGTCTTACAGAGGGAGAAACTGAGGCTGTGGCGGGCCCCGGGGCCCAAAGAGCATACTTTGTCCCAACTCCTGACCTGAGGCAGCCAAGACTGGTGAGCAAGCCCTGCTGATCCTTGGGATTCTGTTGGGTCCAGCTGGCCACTGGCATGTGGGGTTTCCATTGGGAACATAGGGGAAGGATTGTGGAGGCAAAGTCAGAGGAGTTCTGAGCCAGCCTGCAGCCAAGGCCAGCTCTGGGGACCCTCAGGTCACTGGGTTAGAGCAACCTCGATCAGGAGCGATGAGACGGACACGCCGCAGCCAGCACTGGCCATTGGCCGGGTTCTCATTAGTGCGCGTGATGACGACATTGTGCGTGGCACCTTGACTGAGAAGAGGAAGGTGAGGCCCTCAGGAGTCTGGCACGAGGTAAGGCCTCAAGATATGTTTTTTTCCTGGTGCTGGGGATCCAACCCAGGGCCTCACGCACGTTAGGCAAGTGCTGTACCACTGAGCGACATCCCCATCCCTGGTTTTAATCCTTTTTCTCGTCTCTCTGCATCAAGTCTCTGTCCTGGATTTTTCTCTCTTTTTCTTACATGCCTGTAATCCCAGCCACTAGGGAGGCTGAAAGCAGGAGGATCACAAGTTCGAGGCCAGCCTCAGCAACTTAGCAAGACCCTGTCTCAAAATACAAAAGAAAAAAGAGCTGAGGGTCTAGCTCAATGGTAGAGCTTCACTGGGCTCAATCTCCACTAGCAGAGAAAGGAAAAGGAAAAGAGAGACACCGAGACAAGAGGTTACCAGTACCAAATGGCAAGGTTGTGAACTGGGGGAGGTGACAGCCACCACATCACTGACCTCTGGCCTCCAGTGCCCACGGCCTGCCTCCAACATGAGGCCAAGATGAACACACACAGATCTCTTCAAGCCCCCACCCAGTGACCCTTGCTGAAAGGTCACTGTCATCCATCTTTCCTCTGGCCATCCACCAGTCCATCCGCCTTGCTCCCTCCCTCCTCCCATCTATCTGTTCTCTGGTAGCAGAGCCAGTTCTGGCTGCAGGGAGGTCAGGGGTGAGCCAGCAGCCTTGGCCTTGCTCCGTGCAAGAGTCCTGAGTTCCAATCCTGGCTCCCCATATCTGAGCCCCCAGCAGCCTCTTCCTTGTGGGCCTGGCAGGCGTCAGCCCCTGCCCCAGGGTGTGTGCAGGGCTTGGTGAAGGGGCTGTGAGTGCAGCCCTACCCCTAGACCTCCCCAACATGGTTCCCGCCTCCCAAGTCTTCCCTCCGTGGCCCCTGCTGCCTGTGTGGCAGGAAGCCAGCCGCCCAGGGCACTTGGTAGAAGGACTGTAACCCACAGGAGGATGTGCAGGATGGTGGCATTGAACACGGGGTTGTTTCTCCCCCTTTCCCCGAAATCACCCCCACCACCAGGAGGTCCCAGGTCCCCTAACCGAGCAGGACAAGCCCGCTGCTTGGAAAATCTCCAGTCCAAATTCTCTAGTTGATTTAAGTCAGCCCAACAGAGAGACTGGAAGTCCACGGTAAGGACAGTTTGTTAGTACCCGTCATGAGTGGGTAGCTGTCCCCTTCTTGATGGCCATTATTGTAAGGCACCTGTCCTGCAGAGACTGCTTCAGGACACACTGAGGCTGGGGGGGGGGGTAAAACAATGGGGATAATTCAACATGCGCCCACAGGTGCTGGGTGGGGCTGGGTGTGGAGCTGGGGGTTGGGCAGTTGACTAGCAGGAACAGGGCCCTGGATTTGGTCCCCAGCACCACAAAAAAAGTAAATAAGGGGCAGAACAAGGAAATTGTGGAGCAGATCCCATCATACAAAACTGTGCAGGCCAAGCGCAGAAGCACGAGACTGCAGTCCCAGCCCCTGGGAGGACGAGGCAGGAGGACCATCTGAGTCCAGGAGTTCAAGGTCAGCCTGGGCAGCATAGCAAGCCCCGTCTAAAAAAAAAGAAAGAAAGAAAAGAAAAAAAGGAACACTGCCCGCTCTCCTTAAATAAAGAGGGAAGTAGGGAAATGGCTCTGTATGTGCTGACACACAAAAATGTCCATGGCACGTTGTTCAGTGGGAAACAAACAAACAAAAACATTTTGCAGAACAAATACACAGAATTCCCTATTCATACAAGAAGCCACCTCAATACCAGGCCCACTCAATACTAGAGCTAGAGCTGGCCTGACATCGGTGGTCCAGGCCTGTCTGGATCTAAACACGTGCACTTGACAGTCAAATGCCTACCTTAGCCAGGTGCGGTGGTCACTCCTGTCATCCCAGCAGCTCAGGAGGCTGACACAGGAGGATCGCAAGTTCAAAGCCAGCCTCAGCAACTTAGTGAGGCCCTAGGCAACTTAGCAAGACCCTGCTTCAAATAAAATATAAAGAAGAGGGCTGGGGATGTGGCTCAAGGGGCAGCGCGCTCGCCTGGCATG